AGAGAGATGTGTCACTGAAACAGAGAGTACAAATCCCTCCTGCTGCAAAAGTAACACTTTAAAAGGTAGTGCATTTGAAATTGTTATTTTGAAACACTGCTGTCACACATCTTCAATTATCATAAGTTCCTTCAAGAAGGGGACGGATGAGTTCCTCAGGTCAATTAGCTACTAACCAAAACAGGCTAAATGTGCCGAATGACCCCCTTGTTTGTGACATTTCATATGATCTTAATTAATATGAAGTATTTTTTTTACCTAGCAAGTAATTATTATTAAAAACAGACTGCCTTATGAGTTTTATAAGACCTTAGGAAGTGTAGTTTACAGAACAAGCCACTAGAGGGAGCCTCCTGCTCTCCTCTGCTCTTTCCTATCCTATCAGAATCACCTTTATCTTCCAGGTACATTTCACATACAAGGAATTTGGTGTACTTGGTGCTGCACAGACAAGGAACTAGAAACCAGGAATTGTGTCTCCTGTCTCCTCCGTATCCCGGGAATGGAGGTACCTGTGAGCTGCCTGCAGAGGAGGGTGGAGCCAGAGAGTGGCGGCTCGACGGGCCCTGGTCGGAGAGCAGGGCAGAGGACAGGGGGGTACTGCACACCGACCCCAGCCCCCCAGCGCCCAGGGAGATGGGGTCCTTGTTGCTGGTGTAGATACCTGTGAGAGGGACAGACGGGTCAGGAGGACAACAGCACAGGCACAAGCCTGGAAGGTGACAAAGGTGAGAAGGTGAGACCCCGATGGGGACACTTTCTGCTGTACAGTGTGGAGCTCAAAGGCTCATGATAACTAAATAACATAACATCACTTTATTAGCCCTATACAATTTCTTGCATTAGGAATTTGTCTTTTCGCAGACCCCAGCTTGCTCTCCATGAGACACACAGACAGGGAGACAAGCCTGGGGTCAGAGTGCAGGGTCAGCCATTGTACAGCGCCCCTGGAGCAGTTGGGGTTAAGGGCCTTGCTCAGGGGCCCAACAGAGTAGGATTCCTCTGCCGGCCACAGGATTTGAACCGGCAACCTTCCAGCCACAGGCGCAGATCCTGAGCCACAGAGCCACTGCTCCGCCCTTAACTACCCATCTCTCGCCCAGCCAGGGAACACGTCGCAGATAAGAACAGTGCTTTGTGCAGTAAGTACACAGTGAAGGATGTCCGCAGTACGTGTGTGTATGAGGTCTCAGGAGCTCCAGACATTTAAGAGTTAAATCTAGTTCGAACTTGTGCCCAAAACCTCTTCCTGTTCCTGACCTGTTCCAGGAAGAGATCTGTAAACACAGAACAGCTAATCGGGGCAAGAAAACTCTGCAAAGACTGAACACACTGTAGACAGTGAACACAGCACATTGACTGAACACACTGTATACAGAGTGAACACAGCACACTCACTGAACACACTGTATACAGAGTGAACACAGCACACTCACTGAACACA